CAAGTAGCTCAAGCCTTATCGGAAGAAGTGGTGCAGGATGGGAAGGTACTGCTCTCCTTCAGCACGGAAGCTGTATTCGATGTGGTTGTTTACAGTTTGTTTTCAGTATTACTGACTACAGAATTAAAGGTGAAACTGAAGACAGAAAAACTAACGGAGCCGTGGCAGCAGTCATTCGAAGTTCATCAACATGATGGAAAATGCAAACCTCTCAATTATATATATATGTGACATTAGTTTAGCCTTGAACACAATTACCATTTTTCTATTTGGCTCTGTAGGATCACCTCTCATTAAGGTTGGAGGCTAACTGCCATTTTGTGAAAAGTTTAGAATTATGTTGTTTTTAACTTTTCGCCATTAGTTATACCAACAAAAGTTTTTGTGGAACTTGAGAAATGATCAATCAACTCTTGTAACTTATTATGTATTTTGTAATATACCATTTTAGTTTCTACAACATTACTGTTTTTCATAAATCAATGAAAATAAAAAAGAGTACATTCGTATAGATTTTTGACTTCAGGATTACAGACTTCATGAATGATTGAGACTTTCATATTTTCTGTAAGCTCCTGACACTTTGCAATACTCTTATGTATATGAGTATCTAAATGTGTAAAATAACACAGAGGGAGAACCTGAATTTTTGAATAATATAATGTAGATCTAATCCAAATGTTCTTGTCCGTTCCGGAACAGACAGTTAATAAGTCTTTTTTAAGTACTTGTTTTGTTGTAGGGTTGATGCAAGTTTTAGTATGTTAATTGCCTTAAAAAGGTATAGGTGGACAAACATTTAATTATATAAATGATAATTCAAACTAAAGAATGCTAAAACAATATTTTTGAAGAAATTCATACCTTGTATGATACAGTGTTGAGTTTTAAAGACTTTGAATTATCGCTAGATTTTAATTGTCCAAAGAAGCTTTGTGGATGTTTTTTTTGTTTTTCCTGTGAAATATTACATGTGCTCTTATTCGTATTTCTTCATCATTTTGTGATAGTATCATTCATTGAAACTTTACTGGAAGAATTTACTCAAATGCATTAGAAAAAAAAAAAATCTACTTCGGTAAGTTAAATCATGGCTGTGTTCACATCAGAAAAGAAAATTACGTTAGATGCCTATTGTAAAAGGTCACATGTTCGTGCTCTGTAGTGTCCAACAGAGGAATACGTGCACACACTGTGACACATACAGGTTTAATTTAACACTTTCTTAAAGGTCATTCTTTAAATGGAACATAAAAGTAAATATTAATAATAATTTTCTTCAAAATTAGTATCTTTACCCGATTCAAAATTTACAAAATATTGCATCCAGAACATTAGCACATGTAAGTGTATTTGAGATCCTGGATGTCAAAGTTCATACAGTTATATATGCAAATAGATGTGTACGAAAAGCTACTCTGTTTTGATTCTAGCTTTTTTATAGATTTCTTGTTATGAGATTACGCTTCTGCCAAGAAATACACAAACAGAATGAACAGCATAATGCTCATTTTATAAAGTGAAACCCAAATATTATCCAGCTCTAACAGCAACCACTGAATAGCACAGGTAAGAATATTGTACTTGTTACTAGTGCAGCTAAGTACCGGTAGTAGCATGTTTATGATGTTTATTACAGGGTGCAGAATTAGCACATGCATGGTGCCAAATGCTCCTAAAACTTGCGTCCGCCACAGGAAAATTGAAGAAGCACCCACTCTTGTCATAAAAAATATTGCAACGGTTGTCACGTATTAGATAAAACAACTTCGTTGTTCCCAGCCCGTATAAAGGGGAGTGTACTCTGAACATAAACTTAATATTTCACGACCAAAAAACATTTCAAATGCAGGGTTTCTTTTGCTTATATTGTCTATAAACTTGATCATTTGGCTGATGCTTTCTAAGTTACCAAACAAACTGTTGTCTGACCAGGATTTGAATCCATGCTGGCTGTATGCAGAAAGTTAATGCATATATATATATATATATAACTAACATTAATATCAATAAAATAATGGAGATGTGCTAATGGCAATTAGAAAGCAATACTGATGAAGTATTGAAAGCTGGAGATTTTTAATCTTATAACTCTTTATGTTTAGTATCATTTCTACAACAGAAGCATGGCTTCCCTTTGATGTATAGATTTACTTAATCCAATTCACCTAACTATGATATTTATCTAGATCCATATCTAAATGTACTTCTGTGTGTGTATTTGACACATGATAATTTCCGATAAGGTACTCTCCCTCCTCTCACAAGATTAGCTTTTCTCATTTTGTGCTGCCCTCTGTATGGCAACTTTTCCAGAAACACTTGCCACAGGCCTTCATCATCCCTCAATTGGAATCCAGAGTTCCAACACGTCTCTCATGCAAATCAGCATGCGTTACCTCTGCACCATTAGGAGAGCACTACTATCACGTGATGCATGTGACTCCCTGTACCTGGCACTACCAAAATACCACTTCTTTTGAAGTTGTTTTTTTTGCATTTTTTATATTTTTCTTAACTTTATTTACTAAACTTAACAGTTGTGGAGTTAATATTTTTATTAAAGCATTATTTCCTCATGTTTGCAGCTTTTTCCCGCTTATGAATTCTGAAGTTACAGTCACCACCTCACCAGCATCTGATGACAGATTTTCAGACATGGGCCCAGGTGACCTGTTGGGGTATGTATCGTCACTTAATCACCGAGAGATTGAGTGGTACATGAGCCAACCTCTCTCTCGCCTACTTCTGTCCCACTTTCTCCTGAGCCTTTTGAGCCAGGCCAGGCTGATGACAATTTTAATCGTTTGTCCCCCCAGCTCGTGTTTGCCGTGCCTTTCTGTTCACTACCTGATGATTCAGCTCATCCGTCATTGGTCTTTCAAGACTTAATCTCTCAGGTATGTGATGTTTTGTCTTTTACACCTGTTTCCTATGGCCCTAGACCTTCTTCTTACATGAAACAACCTCCCGACCCAGTTTAGTCTTTCCCCCAATATTAGGTTTCACACAGACTCATTTGCCTCTTAACTGGGGAAGGGCATTAGTATGCCTCGTCCCACATGGACTTTGGATCATTCCACCCTTGCTTATTCTTAGGTGGACTATTCCTTTATTGACTAACAGTTGTTTAGGTTGGTTTTACCTGTTTGGGGAGCAAAACCAGATTACCCTGTTCAACTTACCCAACCCAAGCTCAATTTTTTCACCTTTGTCTCATTCTCATCACCCTGTTAAGGTACCTTTCCTCCCTTCACCTTCTGTCAGAGGCTCTTCATAGGAACCCTGAGGGGTTTTCTGATGAAATCCTCTCCATCCTTACTTCTACATTGGTTCGTCAGTCCTCTTTGGCTCTCGTGCTTCAAACATGGTATGTTAGTTGAGCTGTGATGCGGTTTTGGACCCATCTCCAGGGTCCTTATCTGAAGGACCTTTGCATGACACCATTTTGGGCTGAGCATGGCACCAGTTCCTGTCCCCCGACCTTCCCCTTCTCAACCTCTTTCAGTCCCACCCTCCCGTGGTGTCACGGTTTGACGATTTATTCGATAAGGCGCGATCCACCACCAGCAGTACTGGTGACTACATGGTTGGTTTGGATCCAGTGGGGGCATGTCTTTTTGAATTTCATTCATTGGTGGGACCTTTTCTCGCCAATGTCTGGGTTAATAGAGTGCTCTCAGGAAGGGATGTGTTATCCCCTTTCTCTCCCTTCTTCCTTTGTCCAGTGTTCCTGTTGCCTTCCCTTATCCTCGGGATCACTCGGCATGCAGGCGTCTGTCAGAGGTGGTTCAGGACCTCAACGCACAACAGACTATCAAACCAGCTCCACCAGATTCACAGGGGTTTTACTCCCACCTGTTTGTGGTTCCCAAGAAGACCAGAGACTGGCGTCCTGTCATCGATTTATCCCATCTCAATCAGTATGTTCACACTCCTCGCTTTACCATGGAGACATACCTTTCTCTTCAGTGGGAATTATCTCTAGGTCTTTGGATGACGTTTCCAAAGCTTACCTACACATTCCTGTGGCAGAGTATTCCTGTCCATATCTTCAATTTGTCCATTAGGGGGTTGTGTACCAGTTTAGCACCTTACCTTTCAGCTTAGTCTGAGCACCATACACGTTTTGTTGTATGGTCCATTCCTTTGCTCGGCATATTCATGCCATGGAGTTGTGCTTCCATGTTTATATGGACGACTGGCTTCTTCTTGCTCGTTCCGAACGGGAATCAGCCTGTCACACTTGTCAGCTCCTGGCTGAAGCTGCGAGGATGGGCTCATTGGTCAAATTGGAGAAGTCTTTCCTGCCTCCTACCCAATACCTTATCTATTTGGGTGTTTTCTTCAACACCCATCTCAGTCAGGCCCAACCTTCTCCTCTCCGGCTCGATTCCATTGAAGGGGCCATTCAGAAAGCACTGCTGTTCCCTCACTTACAGCTCACGAGGTTCTATCACTTTTGGGGATGTGGTCCTCTATGACCCCTCTCATACTGCTGGGTAGGGCCCGTATGCAGTTTCATCAATGGGTCCTTCACAATCAATGGAACCTCGACCAGAATCCTTTGGATACTCCTATATCCCTTCCCTCATTCCCTGTAGACAATCTTCATTGGTGATTGAACAGGGCCCACATGTTTATGGGAGTCACGATTCCTCCTTCGCAGCCTGATTTACATCTGTTAATGGATGCATATCTTCAGAGCTAGGGTGCCTGGGTGGATCACCAAGAGGTTTTGGGTTGTTGGTCTGTTCTCGAACTATTGTCGGGGTTTGGATCATTTTCTTTCTCTTGCCAGCCACCGGCTGGTTATGATCCATTTTAACAATTCTACCATAGTAGCTTTTATCAATCACCAATGTGGCATTAGGTCCAGATCCCTGTGTTTTTGCACTATGGATCTTGTTTATTGGGCCCACACATATCGAATTTGTTTGATGGTGTGACATGTACTGGATGCTTTCAATCTCATGGCTGATCGTCCTTCCTGACCGGAGAAATCCCAAGTTCCAACACATCTCTCTCACGCAAAGCATCAGGCATCACCCCTCCACCAATAAAAGAGCATTTCTATCACATAACTCATGTGACTCCCTCAATGCACCACTACCGAACTATCACTTCGAAGTTTGGCAGAAAACATGAGCACTGGAAGGTTGTGGGGAGAATGAGTGGGAAGTGTGAGTGGAAGGAAGTACCTATCAGAAATACATTTTCATTCAGGAAAATAATAATTTCCGATAAGGTACTCTCCCTCCGCTCACAAAATTGAATAGCTTGAATATCACATTGAAATGGAGGAGGGACCGGTGCGAGGGAAGGAGAAGCTTATTCCCTGGAAGCATCTGAAGAACACCCCTGAAATGAGAGGATTAGATCAGATGATCTGAGGAAGGGCCCTGCACCACATCTGAGCCAATGACTGGGATTGATGGAGCAGGTTGGGATGGAAGGGAAGAGGAATTGGAGAGACTACCTGCAGTTGGATCAACCAAGGGAACAAAGGTTGAGTGGGCCAGTAAGGAGCAATCAGAAGGACCTTGCATGAAGTGGCATGGATGAGAGAGACCACCCAATGAAGTAAACTGATAGGAAGGTAAACATAAAGGAACAGATGAGACCAATCCTGGCTGAAGGCATAGACAGCCAAGGCTTGAGGATGGGGAACCAAAGACCAAAACCGAAGTAATCTGTCATTGAGGGTGATAGCAAAGACATCGATATGTGGCATACCCAGATGCAGACAGAGCCAAGGGATAAACGCGAAACAGAGGGCAGATGAGGGCATGTGGCATGCGTTTCTGAAAAGTTTGCATACAGAGAGAAGCACAAAATGAGAAAAGCTAACTTGTACCTATTGGAAATACATTTTCATTTAGGAAAATTATAACTTTGATGATCGTACCCAGGTGGTACTTAAAAAAGTTTATTTTGCACTCTGGAATGTATTTGTGAAGTTTAACAGTTTGAGGTTCAATCCTTGCAGTGAGTATAACACAGACAACCCATTGTGTAGCATTTAGGTGTAACAACAAACTAGTTGTACGTCAATAGTCTAAAGTACGT